ATATATATATTATATTATATATATATCCTTCCAGGTCATTTGGGGGATGACCCGTTTCAGATCCTGCCCCCCTTTAGCGGCAGCACGCCATGCCTCCTGAAACGGGTTCAAGAAAGGGCTCCAGTCTTGGCAACCTTCCATTTGAGCAGAAGTTGTCATTCCTTGGTTCTTTGCCAGTGAATCCAAGGGTTGATTCCCCATTCTTTCCAACCAACCCATCGTTCTTTTCGGAAACCGGCCGTTTCCGCGGGCTTCCGGAGGTTCTCTAGAAAGATTCGGATCCCTGGAAAGAATGGAAATGGAAGGTAGCACTTGAGTGAATGTATTTTCATGGGCACAACGAGGGGATCGAGGAGAGCTCTGCCAGGCATCGCAGAGGAGGATCTGCAAATGAAGACCTACTTTGGCAGCTTATCCCTCACCGTGTTCCGCCCTGAGAGCAAAACCAGAGCACCTTTTTGGGAGCTGTACCAAGGAGTCTAGACAGCAGCGATCAAATCCCCCCGCAAGAGGCCATTTGATTTTAGTAGGTGGTGCTACGTGGTTGAACAGGGATTGTGGCCAGGCTATAGAACTTCAATGGACTTCACATGGCAGAACCAAAGTCAATTGGTTTTGGGCGCTCACATCCTAACAGAAGGTCTTGAGCCAGACAGGTCGTTTGAGGAGGACGGTAGACCTTAAGAAAGGGATCCTTTGAAACTTCCCATGAGTGAACCATGGATCACCATAGGAAACCAGAGGGAGCCACAGGGAAAGCATTGGGAAACCATGCCGGTCACTTTTCCGGACACTTGGTTTCCTATGGTTCCGGACACTTATCCATGGAACCACAAGAAACCATTGGGAAACCATGGGGAGACCCTTGTGTTTCCGGTCACTTTTTCCCAGCTTCCCATAAGTTCCACGCCTTTGCCCAAGGTTCACGGTCTTTCAGCTCACCACCCAGGAGGACAGGTTCGATGGTTTGTGGCAGGTGCAGCTTGCCGGACTCCGAGTCGGCTTAATGGGAAGACACGAGGGCTTTGTTCAACAACACTGTGGATGGACGGACTCCATTTCGCACCGCTTTAGAACAATGGGAAGCAATTATGTGTTGGTATATACAGGGGAATCATCATCCCAAGCTTTGTTGGGTGGGGAAGGATTTCGTCCATCCACAGTAGCGTGGGCATGTTTGAACAGGAGGGTGGTTTAATTCTGGCAGCCAACCACCACCATGAATAGGGTTACCTGCTCGAAAAGTAAAGTGGGAACTATATGGGAAACCACCCATATTGTTTGGACACAAAGACCAAAACCGAGCAAGTGTGCTGTGGATAGACGAAATGCGCTTCGCACTAGTTGGGATCGCTTGTCTTTGCGGAAGGCTAACATCGGTCTAATTCGGAGGTCCATTATTTGTACGCTCCTCCGATGTCTCCGAAGTTGCAATTGTCTTGGCGCCTCCTCCAAGACTCTGTACCTGGATCCTCACAATTGCCACTTAGTGGGTTATTGCCCCAAAACTATGGTTGGTGAGTTCCCTTTTTTATGGGTAGTTTGAGGCTGCAGGTAAACATTACAGGGGAAACATGAAACATAGTCTGAGCCTATCTTTGGTTATCCACATGTTCGAGAAGGTCATCTGCATTGTTTCTGCCTGTTGACTCAAAGAGATTCAATGAGGCAGCGAATGCCCATTGTTTCCTGTGACTGGAGAAGGATAGCCATCTCAGCTTCACACGAACTGAGAGCAACTACATTTTGGAGTTGAGACACCAACGTAAGTAGAGTCTTTCTCCAGAATATCGCGTCAGAACAAGACTTTCTGTTCTCCACGTGCGTAGCTCCCGAGGAACTTAACTTCCTAGGAAGAATCGACGCCATGTCGGATTGAACCGATTCCGGTATGCCAAGATTTACATCTGCTGATAATGGAGCTCCTTGCGATTGAGTAAGTCGATGATGCTTACGGACAAAACTTTTGACTCGCCACCCCGTCCCTTGCAGTGGCACACCTTCAGCAAGCCGTGCAGAAATGGATTGCTCTGGGGGCATGCGGCCAAGCCCTTAGAAAGCTACACGCGGGTGTGTTCCACTGCACAGGATTGGCCGGACATCTCGGAGGTCATGTCCGCGAATCACCAGCAAGGGGCCCAAACGGACGAAACCGACGGATCGCTTGAGGGCTTTGCGGGATGGAGCCCAAATTCTTGGGAAGGGGATGCACGGTCTCTATGGGCAGCTCACCTAGACATGTTAGAATGTTCAGATGATATGCAGCTTCAATCCTCCCTAGCGCAAGAAGGGGGCGGGCCCAAAGACTAGGAAAGGAACTGCCAGCAATTCGAGACACCATGAAATAAGGATCACGCTGCCATGCCGGGTTCATCCCGGGCAAATCTTTCCAAATGTTCGCCTGGACGGAGATGAAGGTGCCGATCACCACCCTCACCACCCTCACCACCCCAGCGAAATCTATTTTTCGCTTCAAAGAAACGACCCCCCCCCCCATTTCAGTGCTTGAACCAACGGTGAAGAGCACCCCATGTGTTTCGGAGATTTTTTTCCTTGCAACACCGAGGCAATAAGCGAGGTTCTGCCCCAAACTTTGGGAGTGTCGTTTTGAAGGTCTTGGGGTCGGACATTTCAGGTGACCACGGAAACCGACACGCCCCTCAGTCTTCCGCTTTGGATCTACAGCTCTGTGTCAAGGGTTTGCAGTTTGGAGTGCCCGGAGACCTACCCGTGGATAGGCAACCAACAGGGGATTCCCTACAAATCCCCCTTTCAAAAGGGGCCCAGTTCAGCAGAAAGCTGATCAAAGCACGACGATTGGTTTTTGGTGTCCTTTGGGTTCCCAAAGGATCTCCCTAATTCAACCCCTGCCAATACTTTTAAAGTAAGAGCTTTAAGTTTGAGTGTCGCCAGGTGGCTACAGGTGATGGTGATCCTCCTTTTGATGCTGACTGCTTATGGTGCGCTTCGATTCTGTGCTGCTTCGCTTGCCTTCAGGGACACCACAACCAAGGCCCCACCAGAAAGGGGGTTCAGAGAACCTTAGCCCTTGGTCTACTTTTGGATGGACAAAATCCACGGCAGGCACCAGCTCGTATTGCTGGGCTCCATCTTTGATTGTGACATCCAGCCTTGATGCTTGGTTTCGGCCTCCAAGGAGCATTGGTGTTCTTTTCGGGTTCGGTTGAGTAGAATGGCTTCCGCTGGTTTTAGTTTGGTTCGAATCATTTGCCAATGCATGTTGCCAGGACTTTTCCCTTGAGACTTGCCAGTTGAGTTGGCAAACTTGACACTTTCTGGTAGGTTTCTTCATGAATTTTAATCCAAGGCCCGAAGAGTTTGCGCACTTTCTGCGACCATTCACCTCAGGACGTCCCTTTCCATGCGCTTTTCGACCCCCAATGGCCCCAAGACCCCAGAAGCAATAGCTTTTGACCCCCAAGAGACCAAAACTTCAGGTCTTGAGGTCGGTCTGCGAACCTTCCCTTTTTCCCCAGCTGTCAGAGGTCCATTTGTGTTTGTTTTAAAGGCAAACCAACAAGAACGCTCCCCTAAAAGACATAGGTGGATCTGCCTCAACGCCTTCCCGGATTCAGGGAAAGCCGGGCTGGTGGTTTTAAAGGGAAGCCAACCAGAAACCACGAAATTTGGGTGTTCCCACTCCGAAATGCGAAATGGAGACCAAAACAGGTGTGATGAACGTGACGGTGGCCATCTTCGTGAACAGCGCCCTGGATGCCTGGAGCCCCAGAGTCGACTTGTGGAAGTTGCAGTTTCGCGGGTCCTTCGGAGGATTTGGTCCCCGAAGGCCACCTGGGATCGGATCTTTGGCTTTTGCGTGGTTTGACCGCTGCTTTTTTTCCGGTTTGCTGAATGGAAGGTTTGGATACTGAGGGATTCGTGGGATGGTTGGGGGTGTTGAATGGCGGTTTCTGGGCGAACAAGTAAGGCAGGCCTTGAACCCCTTCAAGCCAGAAGTGCCAACTGGATAGCTTGGTGTTTGGATGGCTTGATGGTTGGGTGATGTTGGGTAATGTCGGATGCTTGCATGTTCTCATGATTTGTGGGTTGGATGGGCTGATGCATGCTTCAAGCTCGACACAAAGTAGGGCTGTCCTTGTGGAGCTATGACAAGGTCGGGACCGTCTCAACCACGTGTCCCTTCCCAGTGGACCGATTGGACCGAAATATGAGGGCTTTTGACCCGCACAGACACCTTTTGGGGTTGGAGGTTTAGTTTGTCGTGCTGAACCCCCAGTCCACATGGTTTGGTTGATATTTCCGGTGGTCGGATTTTGGTGCCGGCCCCTCTGGCAGTATGCGTCAGGCCTCCTCAGTTCGCTCAAGAGACCTAGCGAAGAAGGCGAAGGCGCGTCAGAACGCGCCGTTTTTCCCTGGCAACTGCGCCGGAGTTTTCATGACAGGAAGCAGGAACTCTACCCGTCATGGGGGATCATATGCCCAAAGTCAGGGGGGAAGCCCTTATTCAAAGGATCAGACATTCCGGTTTCATTTTGGTATTGCTTAACCACAGGAACAAGGGTGGCTCCAAAAAAACCTAACCCAAATCAACTTGCGACACCCCTTTCACTCCCCGAAGCCCAATCCTGCAGTTTTCGGGTCCTTTTCCAAGGAGATTCCTCAAATGATGGTTTTTTGGGGGGGTTCTATGATCGCATCTGGAACCCAACATTGGGGGGTCCATTTTAACCAAAATATGTTTTGTCGGACTAGCAAGTGTTGTAACCACTGCAAGGGGGCATGATCTTACTCCAGTTTGTGCACTTTTGTAGTACTTGTTGGGAAGACAGCTTGTGATAACAAAAAGTTCAGATACTTTTTGACTCATGCTTATTGCCCTGCTTAGTTGGAGGCTGCTGAGATGCGGCAATTGCAGTAGTCATTCATATTCACCCATTGGGGAGCGCCAACCTGCAGCATTTTTGCGGCTTAAGTCAAAGCAGAGGAGCCTATCACAATTTTCTTTGCAAGCCTCAGCC